CCTGTAATGCCAGTACTTTGAGAGGCCGAGGCAGGAAGATTGCTCGAGCCTAGGAGTTCGAGACCAACCTGGGCAACATAGGGAGACTCTGTCTCTACAAAAAATGAACAAAATTAGCCCATGTGGTGGCACACACCTATAGTTCCAGCTACTCAGGAGGCTGAGGTGGGAGGATGGCTCAAGCCCGAGGAAGTTGAGGCTGCAGTGAGCTGTGATCATGTCATGGCACTCCAGCCTGAGCCACAAAGCGAGACCCTACCTCTAAAACAAACAAACACACACAAAAATGGTTAAAATGGTACATTTTATGTTCTATGTATTTTACCACCATACAAGTAAATTTACAGAAAAAAGTGAAGGCGGACGAGTTTGGAATGTAGGTTTTGAAGCCTTGCCGCTTCTGCCTGGGCCCTTGTGAAAGGCTACCCTAAGATCACAGGTAAAGAAGCCCATCCAGACTTCTAGAGGCTGGGAGGCCACATGGAATGCCTGTGTGAGTGGGGCCATCTGGGACTTCCCAGCCGAGCTTCTCCTCCAGCTGACTTCAGTGGCAAGACTGAGTCCAGGCAGAAGCCACAGGAGAATTGCCCAGCCAAACCACAGAACCAGGAGAAATTATGAACTATTGTTGTTTTCAGCCAGTCAAGGTGGCTTTCCTTCCAGTTACCCAGACACTCCTCTTCTCCAGTCCTTTGCCGTTGTGTTCATGGATTTCGGGAGGATATATATTATGTTATTCCAACCAATTCCTTCTATTTGATTTTTTTTTCTTCTAAACACAAAATAATATCTTCCCTTTTATTGTCAGATCTCAGCCAGGAGTTTTCATCCTACCAAATTTTAGTGACTCCTGAAGGTTCAGAAAATAAAACCTAGGCTGAGTGTGATGGTTCACGCCTGTAATTCCAGCACTTTGGGAGGCCAAAACAGGTGTATCACTTGAGGCCAGGAGTTCAAGACCAGCCTGGCCAACACGGCCGAGGCAGGAGAATCGCTTGAACTGGGGAGGCAGAAGTTGCAGTGAGCCAAGATCACACCACTGCACTCCAGCCTGGGCAACAGAATGAGACTCCATTTCAAAAAATAAATAAATAAAAATGAAACAAATAAATGAAACCTAGAGATACTAACATAGGCCTAATATCACTCAAAAGGCTTATAGGTGTCACTTGAATATCTTTTTATGAGCTATGGACTCCCTCCCCGCTGAACCCTCCCCAGCTCCTCCATTAACTACAAGTGATTTTTTTTCCTATTGCTCCAGAAGGGCCCAACCTCCCAGTAAATCCATTGTCTACATTTCTCCTAGACTGAGCAGCAACTCACTTATCAGAGGCTTTTTTCTTACTTTTATTTTTCTGATCAAACTTACAGCAAATGAGGCTTTTTTTCTCAACCAATTAAATTAGGGCTCAGGTCAGTGAAACTTGGAATCTCACATGCTGATGATGGGGAGAAGCAGTGGTGCAATCTTTCTAGAGACAATCTGGCAACATTGACCAAAATATTACAAATATTTATATCTCATGACCCCTACATTTCACTTTTTAGGGATTGCCCTAAGTAAGTAATTGTGAATAGGAGCAGCTACACAGATGTACCTTGCAACATTAATTATATTAGTGAAAAATTCAGAACAACCTAAATGTCCAACAAGAGGGGATTGGAAAGTATTTTAAGGTACAGCCAAAGGCAGGAATACTATGCAGTTGCTAAAACTATGTTATAGAAGACTCTGACATAAAGAGACGCTCATAATCTATTGTGAACCAATATATCAGTGTATTAGTCTGTTCTCACACGGCTATGAAGAAATATACCGGAGACTGGGTAATTTATGAACAAAAGAGGTTTAATTGACTCAAAGTTCTGCATGGCTGGGGAGGCCTCAGAAAACTTACAATCGTGGCAGAAGGTACCGCTTCACAAGGCAGCAGGAGAGAGAATGAGTGCAAGCAGGGGAAATGCCAGACGCTTATAAAACCATCAGATCTCGTGAGAATCATTCATTCTCACGAGAACGGCATGGGGGAACCACCCCCATGATCCAATCACTTCCCACCGGGTCCTTCCCTTGACACTTGAGGATTATGGGGATTATTGGGATTACAATTCAAGATGAGCTTTTGGGTGGGGACACAGCGAAACCATATCATCAATCAATAAAATAATTGAGTATGCTTTCACTTTTATAAAAACATATACATGTTATACATATGATAGTTACACATATAAAAAATGCAGAGAGGTTTATGCCAAAACGGTATAAAGAGAACCATTAAGAATGGTTACCTCTGTGGGGTGAAATCAAGGTTGATTTTATTTTTCTCTTTTTTTTAGCTTGTCCATAGTTCCCAAATATTCTACACTCAACTGCTATTACTTTTGTATCGAGGAGAAAACACAATAAAGGAGGTAGTGGCACATCCAGTTAAACATACCTATCCACTAATCCCAGTGCTTTGGCTGGCTTGAGCCCAGGAGTTTGAGGCTACAGTGAGCTATGATTACACCACTGCACTCCAGCTTGGGTGACTGAATGAGACGCTGTCAAAACAAAACAAAACAAAACAAAAAACAAAACAGCAAAAAAACGGCCATGCATGATGGCTTATGCCTGTAATCCCAGCATTTTGGGAGGCTGAGGCAGGTGGATCACTTGAGGTCAGGAGTCTGAGACCAGCCTGGCCAAGACGGTGAAACCCTGTCTCTACTAAAAATACAAAAATTAGCAAGACATGGTGGCAGGTGCCTGTAATCCCAGCTACTTGAGAGGCTGAGGCAGGAGAATCACTTGAACCCAGGAGGTGGAGGTTGCAGTGAGCTGAGATCGCGCTGCTGCACTTCAGTCTGGGCAACAAAGCGAGACTCTGTCTGAAAAAAAAAATCATCCAAGAAAACATTTTATTTTGTAATCACAGGAGAGAAGTTTTCAACGTGTATAATTTGGAAGCAGTAAGACCAGGCATCTGAGTCTCTGCTGTGGGGCAAAAGAGTGAACTACAGACCTGGTCAGAATCACTGAGGGACATTCATTCACTCAGATTCCTGGATATCCTTGTTTAGAGAGTATGGCTCATGAAATCTAAATGTAGTCTCTACCTGGATGGCCCAAGGCAACTGGATTAGTACGTGGCTCGTGGAAGCAAATCTGCTGGATTGGAATCCTGCTTTTTCTTGCCAGCAGCTTTGGACCCTGGACAAGAAAGGAGACCCCAGTCTTTTGTTTACAGGGAGCTGGGATCAGTCACCCTGCTTGCACTGGTCCTCCTGTCAGTAGAGCTTCCTGGATGCCTACGGCTGATGAATATTTGAGGAGAAAACACTGGAAGTAATTTAAAAATGTCCAGGACCAAAGATTGCTTTCTAGATGAGTTAATGCTTCACTTCTTCCTGCCCTTACTGGAGCCTACTGGAGTTGGCTGTCTGGGGTTTCCAGGGTGGAGAAGGCCAGTGCCCTTGGAACACATCCATTCAGCCTGAGCTCTGTTCTTGAGTCTGAGTCAGATGCTGAAACCTCAAATGGCTTCCCGAGGGGGAGAGGCACTGAGAAATAGCCTATCCACATGGAGAGGCCAGAAGGAAAGACAAATGTTTCCTTCTCAACCACCCAGCCTCCTGTTCTTGATGTTTCCCTAACATATGCTAACATATGCTTTCCTCAAGAACTTCAAAAACATGCTTTTAGCAGCAATGAAAATAGGACCATGCGTCCAATTCAACTGTAAGCTCCATCGTTTCCCTCTAATACCATTACCTCATGTACAGAGAAAAATGTAAATCTGAAATATGCTGGTGATTATAACCTTTCTTCCTGACAGACATTGTAATATAAATGCACATAAATTGAATTTCTTCTTTAAAGAAATTTGAATACCTTTGGAGCATTTTAGCAAATCATCTGCAGCCCTTATGGCACCACATCAATGATCTGTGGAAAAGCGATCTCTCTGTAGCATGACTTCTGCAATAGAAGGATGGAGCGGGGCTGGGACATGCCAAGAAAAATAGAACGCACTTTATTCAAAATTTATTTTATTAACCTTGCACAAAAGAGAGAGATGCGGGGAGCTGGTGCTATCAGGGAAGGAGCTTCACATATTAACTCCCTACGTCCTGCTCATGTCATCCACCTGCCAGAATGGGGGAAAAGGAAGAAAGAAGGGTGATTGCAGATTTGTAGTTTTGCTTCGGTTTGACTCTGCTTGCTGAGGCTACATGAGGAGGCCTTGTGTTAACTATTGAAATCAGAAATGTGAATAGCACTGAGTATTAGTGGGAGGCTGCAATGCATCAGATAAGAGTGCTTGGGCCCAGATGTCCCTCGAGGACCAGGGAAAGAGTGTTGGAGCAATCTTGTGCTCATCAGCTTGCATTTGGATGAACATGAGAACGTGGGAGCTAAGACGTTGTATTAGTTAGAGTTCTTCAGGGAGACAGAATTAATAGTATATAAATATATGTAGTATATACATATATACTGTATATATATAATAGTGTATATATTGTGTATATGTACACAGTATATATAATAGTGTATATGTAGTGTATATGTACACTTATATATAATGGTATATATATACCCACTATTAGTATATATACTATTAGTATACCTATATAGTATATATGTATATTATATATACATATATAGTATACGTATGTAGTATGTATTGTATATATGTATATTATATATGTATTATATGTACATACACATATATAATATACATATATACGTATATAATATACATACATACAATATATACTGTATAAGTATATATGTATATTATATATGATACATTATGTATTATGTACCTATATATACTATATATGTACACTATCTATACTTATTAGTGTGTGTGTATTATATACATAGTATATAATATGTAGTATAGAATATATACATATTGATACACATATATGCTCATTTTATTTATATATATTTTTATATATTATATATTCATTTTATTTATATATATATATATTTATTTATTTATCATAAGGTATTGGCTTCTGCAATCATGGAGGCTGAAAAGTCCCATAATCTGCTAGTACAAGTGGGAGGCCCAGGAAAGAGGATTCCTAGTTCAAAGGCCTGAGAACCAGGGGAACCAATGATGTTGATGCCAGTCCAGGAATCGGAAGGCTTGACAACCAGGAACACTGAAAGCAGAAGAAGTGGATGTCTCAGCTCAAGCTGTCAAGCAGACAGTGAGTTCAACCTTCCCCCACTGTTGTGTTCTACGTAGGCCTTTGGTGAATTGGAGAATGCTGACGCACATTGGAGAGGGCAATCTGCCTTACTCAGTCCACCAATTCCGATACTAATCTCTTTCAGCAACACTCTTGCAGATATACCTAGAAATGCTGTTTAGCCAGCTATCTGGGCACCCCATGGTCCAACCAAGTTAACACATAAAACTGACCATCACAGACGTCTTCTACATCTCAGAGGCTGAGTGCAGGGCTCCTTGGGGATTGACTGTCGCTTGTCATGGCTAAGCTGGTAGAGTTAAAAATAAAATTAAAAAGAGCATCCGACCTTTGAAAGCACTGACTTGACCACCACACAACCTATGCATGTAACAAAATTGCATATGTACCCCATACATTTATACAAATAAATAAATTTTAAAAAGAGCATCTGGACCTCAACCTTCCAAGCTTCTACACCCACTGGTCAAGCCCTGGTCCTGTGCCTGGGTTCCTTGCTCACTTCTGGGTGGGTATCTTTGCCAGTGACGAGTGCACCGCGAGTGCACCAGTCCCAGTGCTTCTTTGGTTCTGTGCCAAGTGGGCATCCAAGGACTCTATTGCTGTGGTTTGGTGGCTTAACCCTGGTCTGGAGTTACCCACTGTCTAGTAATCTCTGGGGTGTTAGGAAAGAATCTGGCAAATTTCAGTCAGAGTGTTTTTTTTTTTTTTTTTTTTGAGACAGAGTCTTGCTCTGTCACCCAGGTTGGAGTGAGGTGGCACAATTTTGGCTCACTGCAGCCTGGAGCTCCCAGGCTCAAACAATCCTCCCACCTCAGCCTCCTGAGTAGATGGGACTACAGGTGCATGCCCAGCTAATTTAGTTCATCTTTTGTAAAGATGAGATCTCACTATGTTGCTCAGGCTGGTCTAAAACTCCCAGACTCAACAGATCCTTCTGCCTAGGCCTCCCAAAGTGCTGGGGTTATAGGCGTGAGCCACAATGCTGGGCCAGAACATTTAAGCTTGGGTGTCCCTCACCTACAAATGTTGGGAGAACCAGAGAGCTACAGAGTTCTGCTGTCCTCCAGAAGCAAACGTGGTCCATGCTCCCTCTGGTCACCTGTCCCGAGTGAGCCACCACATAGATAGTGGGTGTATTCACTGCCACCATCACCTCCTGACTATAAGAAATGATTTATTATAAATAACTACATATATTTATATATAAATTATGATATAATTTATGTTATAATGTATAATATAAAAACACAGAAAGCACTTATAATAGTGCAAAGCACATGTACGAGCTCACTAAGTGTTAGCTGTCTGATGTGTATCCTACCTGTCCCTCTCTTGCTCGATGGAGAATTAATCCCTAGAGGGGCTCATTTTCCTGGGGGTTGTCTGGACTCACGGTGAAGAGAGAGGACACAGCTGACACCCCTGTACTCCTAGCTGCTCCCATTTTTCTCACCTGCACTTAATGCCAGCACCTAACACACCAGCACTCTGCGCTTGTCTAAGGTTTGTTCATCTTGCCACAAATGCACGCAATCATTCAGCCAGGGCTGAGATCAGGGTGAGACAAACGAGACCAAATTTAAATGGGCACCAGAAAACCTCAGGCATCAGGCTAAATAAAATTTTAATGCAATATTTCAAAAAATCAAAATTAATACAAAAAATCTACACTGATCAAAATATCAACATTTTAGAGAAGACAGCACCCAATATGGTGAGGATTGGCGAGGAGGGGAGTGGGTGAGCGCGGGACGGGGAAGCAGCAGCCAGCCACATGGGCTAGGGAGGTGCTGCTGGGGGAAGGGCAGCCTCCCCCTATTTCCTCTTGAGCCAATCATTATTGCTACACCTTTTCCATCTGTTACATTCAGTTGGAGCTTTATGTTATTTTATTTTTCATGAATTTTGATGATTTATTTTTGTTTGAAAAACAACAACAACAAATCTAATGAAAAACAACAACAGCAAATCTAAACCATCTGATGTGCCGGGTGAGCAGAACAACCACAGACCCTGGTCTCCCACTCCGACAGTGCTGGTTAGAACTGATCTGTACTGATTTACAGAGGGTCAATCTTTCTGCTGGTCTCGGTTCTGCAGGGTCCCATGCCAGGAGCTTGTCCAAGAAGCTCATTTTACTAGAATACAGAAAACAAAGATGGAGAGCAAAACATACTTGCAGAGGTGGAGGCTAAAGAATGCTCCACTTCCTATACCTGTAATTATTCCAAAGCCACAGAGCCAGTTGGGTATGGTGGCTCACCCCTGTAATCCCAGTAGTTTTGGAGGCCCAGGTGGGTGGATTACTTGAGCCCAGGAGTTCCAGGCCAGCCTGGGCAATACGGAGGAACCCCATCTCTAATACAAAATTAAAAAAAAATATTAGCCAGGCATGTGGCACATGCCTGTAGTCTCAGTTACCCTGGAGGCTGAGATGGGAGGATCGCTTGAGGTCGAGGCTGCAGTGAACCCATGATGGTGCTACTGCACTCCAACCTGGGTGAGAGAGGGAGACTCTGTTTCAAAAAAATAAATAAAAATAAATAAAAGTCACAGTCACAAGCAAGGATGGGGTATCTTCCGAACAAGTCCAGACTCTTTCCCAGGTCACCCGAGGTTCCACCAAACTCTCCTTTCCTCTGGAACACATAAAAAGATGTTAAATTTTAACAGTTGAAACTTCCCAGAGCTGTTCCTTTGCAGACCCTGGGGAGAGTTAAACAAGAGGGATTTGCAAAGCTCTTAACTTTAGAAGGCCAGGAAGGCCCCTGTGGGGACTGGTGAGAGTCAGCTGGTCCCAAGGGGGCATGGCAACTTGAAGGCTGAAAACGTGGGCTTTGAAGTCATAAAGCTTCCGTGGTAATCCAAGCTCCAAGACTTCCTAGCCATGTGGCCCTGGACTAGTGAGTTAACTTGGCCAAGGCTCAGTTTTCTCATCTGTAAGATGGGACTTCTTCACTGGGCTAGTGTTTGATGGAAAGAATTGACATGTGTGAAGCGGTAAGAAGAGTGTATAGTACGTGCTTAATAAAAGCTGATTGATACAGAAAGGTCACAGTGCTGCAGGAAGAATCACATGTTTCTTTTTCCCCACTTCTACCGTTCTCAAGAGTGAACTCTGGGAGACAGAGGCATGTTCATTCTCTTCTGCATCCAGCACAGTGCCTCATATCTGTTGGGCATCAAGAAACAAGGTTAATAATGAAAAGACGGGATTGGGAGCTGGGAAGTCCGACTTCTAGTCTCGGCTCTGTGACTTTGGGCAAGTCTCTTCCTCTCTCTGGGACTCAGGGACCTGGGAGATGAAGCCTGGGTTGGAATTAGCATTTCTTGAAGTTTGCCCTGGGACTCTAGGAATGCAATCATGTTTTATGTTTCAGGGCAAGGGAAGATAGAAGAAGGGTTCTGTGGTCAAATAGGATTAGGCAAGGTTAGGATAAACGGCCAAATCAAGTCTTTTTGCAGAACTTCTCAGAGCCCTTGCACATCCAGCATTTCTGAGATCCTAGAATTTGGAGCCCATCTTTGGCAAAGCATCTTGTGGAACTTCTGTGGGAAATGCTGGGCTCCGTGAGATCTTCTCCAAGGTCTGTCTGCATCTGGATATTTTATAAGGGTGGCCCAAGTACAGGTCATTCTGCTTTGTTGGGCTTATGGCTCAGTCTCCTAAGAAGGCAGGGAAGTGAGGGAACAGCTGGGAATCCTTCAGGACTGGGAGGCTCTCCAGGGCAAACAGGAGGTCTTTGCAATCTTCTCCGAGGCAGAGATGGATGGGGGAAATATTTTTATTTTCATAGGTTTAGGGGGTACAAGTGTAATTTGGTTCCTTGGATTTATTGCATAGTGGTGAAATCTGGGCTTTTAGTGTGGCCATCACCTAAAGAGTGTTCATTGTACTCATTGCAAAAGAAATCACTATGTAAAAAAGATACCTGCCCTGGTATGTTTATCTCAGCACTATATTCATAATAGCAGATATAAAATCAGCCTAAGTGTCCGTCAACAATGCTTAGATAAAGAAAATGTGGTGTGTATACATATACAATGGAGTACTACTCAGCCATACAAAAGAGTGACATCATGTCTTTTGCAGGAACATGGGTGGAACTGGAGGACCTGGGAAATCTTTGAACCCCTGAGCTCCTGGTCTGAGCATAGGAGTCTTTGAGGAGGACAGCGAGAATGACTTTGAGTGCCCAGGAAGTTAGTTATGCCGAGGAATGTGCTCAGCCCAGCAGAAAGGCAGGCCTCCCGCTATGTAGATGGGAACTCTCTCTGGGAGGCTAATGTCCACGATTTATCTGAGACTCCAATACTGAGGGGCTGGCTGGGGCATGGCAGAGGCTGCCTGACTAGGGAGGGAGTGGAGGAGATAGGAAGAGGAGATAGGATGAGGAGATCTGGATGGAGTGAGGGAGCCAAGTGATTATCTGAGGAAATCCAATTCTAGGGAGAGGGAAGAGCAGGTGCAAAGGCCCTGGGGCATGAGTGCACTTGGTGTATTCAAGGAACAGGGAGGAGTCCATAGCGACTTGAGTGGAGTGAGCGCGTGAGAGAGAATGAGAATGAAATGAGAGATGCAGCTGTAGAGCAACATATAAGCCTTTGTAAAATGTGCGAGAACTTGAATTGTATTTCTTTAAAAAAAAAAAAAAAAATTGGCCAGGGATGGTGGCTCATGCCTGTTATCCCAGCACTTTGAGAGGCCAAGGCAGGTGAATCACTTGAGGCCAGGAGTTCCAGACCAGCCCAGCCAACATGGTGAAACCCCATTTCTACTAAAAATACAAAAATTATCCCGGTGTGGTGGCATGCACCTATAGTCCCAGCTACTTGGGAGGCTGAGGCAGGAGAATTGCTTGAACCTGGGAAGCAGAGGTTGCAGTGAGCTGGGATCACACCATCGCACTCCAGCCTGGGTAACAGAGTGAGACTCCATCTCAAAACAAACAAACAAACCACTTTATTGAGGCACATATTGCGTATTATGGAATTCACCCTTTTCAAGTGTACAACTCAATGCTTCTTTTAAAAAGTAAATTTACCAAGTTGTACAACCATCACTCAAAATCCATGTTAGAGCATTTTCATCACCCCGATACGATCCTTCATGCACATGTACGATTAATCCCCTTTCTCCTCTGCCCCCATCCAGACAGCTGCCTATCTACTTGCTGCTGTCTTTACGGCTTTGCCTTTTCTGGATCTTCCCTGGAAATGGAATCATATAATGTGTGGTCTCTTCTGTCCAGCTTCTTTCACTGAGTATAACGTTTTCGAGGTTCATCCAGGCTGTGGCACATACCCGTCGTTCATTCCTTTTTATTGCTCAGTGGTATTCTGACTTGGATTGTGTGTTCCATGGTGGCAGGAATCCAGAGGCAATTCTGGAGCATGAGGGGGACTTGTCGTGACAGCACCTGAACTTTCTCACAGGGAAGTGTCATTCCCAGCAAGGTGAGCCCCGGGCTTTGCATGAGTGGGATCTGGTTCTGCCACTCGGGGGCTGCTGTCCTTGGATGAGTCCTTTCACCTTGCTGAGTCTTAGTTTTCTCATTTCTTTTCTTGTTAAAGTTATTTATTTCTGACTGTGGTAAAATATACAGAACATAACCTTTACCGTTTTAATGATGTTTAAAGTGTGCAGTTTTTGCAGCATTGACATTAAATACATTCACATCGTTGTGCAACCTATCTCCAGAACTCTTTCGTCTGGCAAAACCGCAACTCTGCACCCATTATACACGAACTCCCTGTTCTCTCTTCCCTCAGCCCCCGGCAAGCTCCATCCCACTTTCTGTCTCTGGAAAGTGACTGCTCTAGGCATCTCGCACAGTCTACAGGGGACTATCTGTTGCCCTGCAGATGCGTCTCTGAGTTCATTCTCATTCTCTTTCTCTCTCTTGCTTACTCCACTCAAGTCACTATGAGGTATTCCTACAGTACCTGTCATTTTGTGATTGCTTAATTCAGCGTAAATCCTCAAGGTCCACCCACGTTGTAGCATATGTCAGCATCCTTCCTTTTCAAGGCTGAGTAATATTCCACTGTATGGATAGACCACATCGTGTTTATCCATTTATCTATCGATGGCCACTTGGGCCAAAGTTTCCACCTTTTGGCTGTCAGGAATACTGCTGCAACATGGTATATATGCATGTTAACAACAGGAGTGAGAACATTTACCTACTTGATACAACTATGGTGAGGATTAGGTGAAACAATTCACACAGAGTCCTGAGCACAGGGCCTGGCACACATAAGTGTGGAGCGAACACCTTTCAACAATGATGCAGTGACCATGGAGCCCTTATTACGAATGGGATCTGTAAGCCAAGCATTTGGTAGAAAACTGTCACAGGACGGGGTGCTCAAAGAGAGGGCAAAGGGAGTTTTGTTTTTTTAATATAAACGGTAATGTGACCTTAATTTTTAAAATTTAGAAAATCGAGAAGAAAAAAACTGCACCCATAATCTGGCCTAAACTCAAACTAATTGAGTTTCAATTTCCGTCTACTTCAGAAGGATTAAGCAGACCTTCCGGTTTCAGAAGAACAGAGGAAAACTGGAAGGACCTGGGGTGCTCGCTGGGGGTGATGAGGAAACACTGCAGAAGACTGTCCTGCCAGAGGAATCGTGTCCCTGTTTTGCTTTGGAAACCCCGGGGCCCGACTGGTTCCGCCAAGAGGGGGATGCATTTTTTGGCTTCAGCACTGAGAGGGAGAGGAATCAAAAAAAGGAAGTATCATTTCCTTAACTACTAGGTATTAATATCCTGTTTAATTTAATTTCAGCTTTCTGCGCCGGTGAGCTCTTTTCCCTCTAACATACAGTGTCAGCTTGGCAGGGAGTTTCTGACAGTATCAAAAGAGGATTTAGCTCTGAACCCTTGCCATGAAAGTGTCTCTATCTGCACACAGAAGAGAGCATTGTGTCCTGCGAAGACGGTAATTGACTGAATGAGGCCTGGCACCTGGGCCTGCCGTGGAGCCCTGATAAGGACATAAAGACAGGCTTAAAGGGCCTGCTTGCCAGAGGCAGAGACGCTCACACGTCCCTGGGAGGAGGGAAGCCCAGCCATCCCTGCCATCCCCGAGGAGAGCTGAGTGCAGGTTTCAGCTCCCGCAGCCCTGCAGAAAGAGGGTCCTGGGTGAATGCAGGCTGGGAGCATTCCTCACTTCAGCATGGTGACCTGGCACTCCTCGTGGGAGATAAGCGGTGGGCAAGTGGGCGGGGCTGGCACCAGCTGCCTGATGTGCTTATTTGCCCGCTCTTTCTTTCTTTTTCTTTCTTTCTTCCTTCCTTTCTTTCTCTTCTTTCTTTCTTTCTTTCTTTCTTTCTTTCTTTCTCTCTTTCTTTCTCTCTTTCTTTCTTTCCTTCTTTTCTTTCTTTCTCTTTCTCTCTTTCTTTCTTTCCTTCTTTTCTTTCTTTCCCTCCCTTCCTTCCTTCCTTTCTTTCTTTCTTTCTTTCTCTCTTTCTTTCTCTCTTTCTTTCTTTCTTTTTCTTTCTTTCTTTCTCTTTCTTTCTTTCTTTTTTCTTTCTTTCTTTCTTTCTTTTCTTTCTTTCTTTCCTTTCCTTCCTTCCTTCCTTCCTTCCTTCCTTCCTTCCTTCCTTCTCTCTCTCTCTTTCTCTTTATTCTTTCTCTTTCTTTCCTTTTTTTCTCCAGGGTCTCACTCTGTCACCCAGGCTGGAGTGCAGTGGTGCAATCACAGCTCACTGCAGCCTCAACCTTCCAGGCTCAAGCAATCTTCCCACCTCAGCCTCCTGAGTAGCAGGGACTATGGAGGCATGCCACCATGCTTGGATAATTTTTCTATTATTTGTAGAGGCAGGGTCTTGTTATGTTGCCCAGACCAGTCTTGAATTCCTGGGCCCGAGTGATCTGCCCACTTCAGCCTCTCAAAGTGCTGGGATTACAGGGATGAGCCACCGTGCCTGACATTAAGCCCCCTATTTTCTTGATAAACACACCCTATTCTTATTTGGCCGGCCCCCATCTAGCAAGATCCAGCCTCCACTGTCTGGACTTGTTTGTCTTTAGTCTTCTTGTCTTGAGCTACACAGCCACTGTAGAAATGAATCAGGAGCTCTGTGATTCTGTGTAGTTAATTTCCCTAGTGATTTCACGATGCTCTGTGCTCTGGGAGGCCCTTGCTCAGGCCTCACAACCTTGAATGGGATTGCCTGTCTCTCTGAGAACTTTGGGTTGATCACATTGCTTCTCCCCACCTTTAAAGATAAACAAATACTTTTTGGTTCTTTCTCTGTAAATTGATGGCAATTTAGTCTGTAAGTGACCACAAGGTCATTGCCCACACATCCATCCATCCATCAATGAATCCATCCATTCACCCATTCATTCATCAATATATCCATCCATCCATCCATCCATCCATCCATCCATCCATCCATCCATCCATCCATCCATCCTTTCATTCACCAGTCTATCCAGCCAACCAGCTAGCCAGTCAACTTTGGAGAGCTTATTATACTTCACGTACAGGTGGACAGTATCTTTAGTAGACTTTGAATGGTGAGAGCTGTCGAAGCCTAAATTCCTGTGTGACCTTGGCTAAGTCACTGCCTTAGAGTTTGCCATAATTAGAGTCTGCATTGGTCAGAGGCAGGCTAACTTTTAAAAGATAGCTCCTAATTTCAATGGCTGAATGTAATATACATTTATTTCTAATTTGTGATCCAAAACAGATGTTTTTGATTAATGCACATCATTCCTCCATGCAGTGACTCAGGGATCTAAGTTCCTTCGATGCTGAAACTCAGCCCTTCTTAGTCATTCTGCTGGTACATTGAGTAAAAGTGAGGATTAGCTATGGGAGCCCTAGACATGGTGCACATTCGCTTCTGCTCCCCTTCCATTGACCAGAACTCAGTCATATGGCCACATGTGACTGTAAGGGTGGCTGTGTACCCAGGAAGGGGAGGAGAGTGTAGACATTGGTGGGTGCCAGCTGTCTCTGACACTGGGCTTCCGGATGGCTTTTAATCACAAAGAAACAGTAAAATGTTAGAGACCAAGAGAAAGAGGTTAAAGGGCTTTCAGATATCCTTTATTCCATAAGCAGAAAGTTAGGTGTTATCTACATTACCTCTGACTGCTGCCAATACAGGGAGATTCCTCAACTGTCTGAAAAGCTTGAGGAATCACAGCTGGTGGAGTCAGGAGTGGAGAACAGAGGAGTTTTTCTGAAACCTGAACCCAGAACCTTTCAAATATGACCAGAATACTCCTCCAAAATGGAGATGGGGAGGTCACGTTCTGACTTCTTTAAATTTTTGATATTGGGAAGAAATGAAAGGCCCATAATACAACCTGATCATAATCTTCTTTTATCTTGTGTAGAATTCTGATGGACAAGATTATAGCTACTCTTTTCTAGAAACACATAAAAATGTATATTTCAAAATCACTATTACCACCACTGTCATCATCATCACATTTACTGAGTGTTTACTATGTGCCAGGAACTGTTCTAAGAGTTTTATATAATTATCTCATTTAGGCTGGGCGCAGTGGCTCACACCTGTAATCCCAGCACTTAGGGAGGCTCAGGTGGGTGGATCACTTGAGGTCGGGAGTTCGAGACCAGCCTGGCCAACATGGTGAAATTAAATTATAATTATAATTACTAAAAATACAAAAATTAGCTGGCGTGGTAGTGCATACTTGCAATCCCAGCTACCTGGGAGGCTGAAGCAGGAGAATTACTTGAACCCGGGAAGCAGAGGTTGCAGTGAGCTGAGATCGTACCACTGCACTCCAGCCTGGGTGACAGAGGGAGACTCCATCTCAAAAAATAAATAAACAAAATCAAAATAAAATAAAAAAATTAAAAAATCTCATTTACTCCTTGCAACAACTTTATCAGTCAAGTATAATTATTATTCCATTTAAGGAAATTTGCAACAGGAAGACTTTGCCCAAGGTCCTGCAGCTCCTAAGTGGGAGGACAAGCAAGAAGGATCTTGGTGACCTTGCTTGAGCCCAATAGTGCCATGAGTGCCATGGGGGTCTTGGGCCCAGTGCTGGAGGTTCTCCTTAGGGTCTTTTTTATGGCCTTTTAAACTCTGTGTGTCACTCATATAACAAATCTGCACACGTATCCCTGAATCTAAAATAGAACCTAAAATTGTTAAGAAATTAAAATAATAAAAGTATTCAGATAGAAAAGACAAATTACTTACAAAGAATAACAGGTGGTTTGACAAAAGCAATAGCAATAAGAGTTGCATATTGTAGCAATAAGAATAGCAATCAGAATCCAGAACATAGTGCAATAATATCTTCAAAGTTCTGGGAGAAAATAACTGCTCATCTAAACACATAACCAGCTAAATTGTCTTTTAAGAATGAGAATGAAGCAAAGACATTTTTAGAAAAACAACGAAGAAAATGTTCACCTTTCTCTCACTAAAAACTTCTAAAGTTTATACTTCAAAAAAAGAGACTATGAGATATGCAGGGAGGGGTGGTTTCAGAAATATTTGAATTTTTAAATTTACTTGTCCGTCTTTTCCAACATATTTATGCACATATGAATTAATACAGTGTTTGCCATTCTTGTTTCACAATTAGCAGCATACTATACATACTCATTATCGCCTTGTTTGGTTGCTGTTGCTTACTTAACATTACAGCCTGGCAATATTTTCATAGCAGTATAAAAATTGAATTCACAAAAGAAGAAGAAGAAGAAGAAAAAGGCCAGGTATGGTGGCACATGCTGTAATCCTAGCATTTTGGGAGGCCGAGGTAGGAGGATTGTTTGAGCTCAGGAATTTCAGACCAGCCTGGGCAACATGGTGAAACCCTGTCTCCACATCCATACACAAAATTAGCCAGGCATGATGGCATGCACCTGTAGTCCCAGCTACTTGGGACGTTGAGGTGAAAGGATTGCTTGAGACCAGGAGGACAAGGCTGCTGAGAGCCGTGGTTGTGCCATTGCACTCCAGCCTGGATGACAGTGAGACACTGTCTCACAAAGCAAACAAACAAACAAAGAAAAGAAAAAGAGAAAATTCTGTATGCCAGTTAGTTTTCTCATCCATAAAATGGGGAAATGGGGTTGCCAGTCACTGTCCTGTCTTTCGGGGTAGCTTTATTGAAGGGATCATATGAAAATGGATTTGGAAGCATTTGTCCCAGTAGATGATATCCCGAATGTGTAGAATCATTGCTTTATGATTTACTATCATTTGTTTGCAGGACTTCTTCTGCCCCTGGCCTCAAAATTGCTAAAAGGCATCAAGTGAGTTATTCAGCAAAGAGCTCACGACAGAACATGGTGTTCAAATGAAGTCCTTGCCCTTGAAATATTAACCTCGGGAGGCTGGGGTGAACTGGGAAGTTCAGAGCCTTCCCCTAGGTCTCTGGCAGCCTGCTCAGCTGAGTGTGTTTTTCCAGCTCGAGGAGAGACAAGCCTCGTCTCCACACTCCAGATGTTCCCAGTCCTAGCAGAGCCGTCATCACCTAAGCGAGCTGTCGGGTACCGACTCTCTGGGCTACATTCTCCCATGGGTTCTCTTTAACCTGCTTGGTTTCACTGCAGGGGAATGCCGAAGAGACACAAGTGTTTTTGTTTCCTTTCTTTAAAAATACAGAAACTGTAATCTGTTTTACATCTGGGTCTGAGTGCAGACAAGCAAGAGTGGGCGGAATGGAGTGATGGGCAATCCAGCTGCAAGAAGAAGTGCATATACCCCTCTGCAGACAGCACATCTGTGCAGGTGTATCA